ACTGAAATGGAGTCCTGAGACCATAGGCAGGGGTTGGGAGAGAACCCCGGGGAGGCTTGGCAGCGACAGTAAGGTTCAAAAGTTGGCCTGACATCTGCCCTAAGACTCATCTCTTCTGTGAACAATTCTGGTCATCCTGCCTAATAATGCTAATTTAAAGTGATTTTTCTTTTTCCAAGTAGGATTACCATTTTTCTATGTCATATTGTACATCCTTTAGACACATAAAATTTCATAATAATTTTTATAGGAACATTACTTCTATTAAAAATAACTCACAAATCTGACTGCAATTTTCATATTTTTTTCAAAATATTCTGAAGTTCCATTGTAGTACTGCAAATATTACATTGAAGATCCATCCTTTCATTGTGGGTATCACATTCAGAGACACTCAAGCACAATATTCAGATGCAAATTCTCACATGCTTTCTCTCAAATCTTCTGAGGCATAGCAAGTAAGCCTTGGAAAATAAGGAGAAGGGTGTCAAGAGCCTCTTGGTTGAGGAAATTCTCCTGGTACAGGGCTGTTTCACTGAGAAAGGATTTAGTGGTGTTTCATTGACAACTGGTACTTGTGGGGTCACTTCTTTTGGTTTGCTGATTACTTTTTTAGGTAGGTGATCAAGATTATGTGGAAAAATTAAAAGATAACAGGTTAGTACAAAACAATCAAGGATTTAATAGGAATGTCAAATTTTAACTTGAACACGCACAGTGATTTTTAAAAAAATATTATTATCAAATAAAATCAACCCTTAGTTATCTTAAATTCCTGAAGACATTTGCAGTGGAAATGTTTAACTGGGGTACATGGTATGTGAATGAGAGACTATGAACCTGCATGAGGCACCAGAAGAAATGGCACAGCAGGAGTGCAGGGAGTGATGCATTTGCAGCAAGTCAAGAGATTACAACCAACCACAAAATACAAGAAAGAATATAGGTAAGAGTGGGAAATTGGCAAGATTTGGGTGTAGGGCCAACTGTACTAAATCCTTGGCGTGAGGAAAGCTCCACAACATAAATACAGAACAATAGCAGTGTGATACAACTCAACTTGGCCCTGAGGTTTTCTCAAGAGAGAATATGAAGGATACCAAAGATTGTGCACAATTGTCAACATTCAGGATGAAGCCAGAAAAAGTGATGAGCGCTTGACGAGGGCAGAGCAAGGGCTGACTACTCCGTGACAGTTGGGAGTCAAGCCTGGTAACACGGCCCCTGAGGGAGGGAGCAGGGTGTGCTCATGGGTGGCAGCTATAGTCAACCAAGACTCCAGTTCATCAGACAACATCTGTGGTGATGAGGCAGGTTGAAGGTCAAGCTGGAAAAACCATTTCCCTGGTCAGGATGAGGTCTGGTGGCTATAATCAGGAGCAGACACAGTTGCTGATGACTGGGCATGTCCTCTGTGACAAAGCAGGTCTGAGGTCAAGCCAGGAAGTCAGTTTGCAGCTCAGAGTCCCTGCCAGTGGGGTCTATGGCCAAGGACAGGCATGGCTGTGGCTGAGCTGGGGACCAAGACGACATATGACATAACTCAGGCATGGCCTGAAGGATGCAGAGTGGAGCTGTGCCAGGGTGTAGAAGGATGTCTAAGGTGAGGCTCATCAGGGCCATTAAGGTCTATGAGTGCCCTCAGGGCCCTGACCTTGATAGTTGGTGCCCCTTGTCCTCCTCACCATAAATAACCCTTCCCAGACACATAGATGTTTGTGCTTAAGAGTAAGAAAGACTGAGTATGCATGAGAGTGAAATCTATGGAGAATGACTGCTACTAAAACAGGTCTTTTTTAAAGTAACAAATTGTTGCCTTCTTCTCCATGGTCTTAGGTACCCTTGTTACTTTTGTTGTTATAGCCATATTCCCTTTATTTCTCCAAACTGCAAGAAAACAACTGTGCTTGAATGATTTTTTTGTCATCTCTCTCTTTCTCTCTCTCTCTCTCTCTCTCTTTCTCAAAAGGATCTCTAATTTTGCCAGAGTATTAGGGATAGTACTATTACAAAACAACTGAAATATACTTGCACGTTATAAATAAATCTAATATCACATGGAAGAATTTGTTCCTGTATAAAAGGTAAACTTTTATAAATCCCTGTTTTCTTCTCAGGCAAGCCACTCAGGGTGAGAGGACATCAGAGAAAATAGGAAGGCAGTTCCTGGGCCCTTGCAGGCTCCCAGACCTCCAGCATGGGGCCAAGAGGCTCTCCCTCCAGCATTTTACCTTCTACCATGGGACACAGGACAGGGCAAACTAATTATTAAAAAGTATCAGAAACATATAAGCATAACTAACAGTGGTTTTTATGACAGCAGGATAAAAAGTTTTTTAGAAAATGGGCAGCAAGATATTATTTTCCATGTAATTTTTTTTCATTGAGGATTTATGTCTGTAGTGACTCACAGACCACTGCTGCTGTTCTGCTATGAGAGAGGTGAGCCCTGTAGGCAAAACACAGAACAGGCGAAGAAAGACAGCATGTTCAGACAGAACACTTTTACCTGTACATTTGCTTACAAAAAGATTAAACACCCCAGTGCTGCAAAAGCAGGAATTCTACACAGGAGGGGTTTTGCTTGTTTGTTTTTCTATTACAGGCAGACAGATAACATGCTTAAAGTGGCAGCTGAGCCCTGCGACAGCCTGACTTTGTTCTGTATGTCAAGTTAATGTGCTGTAACTGTGGGAAAGATGTGCCACCTCCCTGAAGCACATCCTTTGGGGTGGAACAGCATCTCCTGCAAACAGCTCTTTATCAGGTAGTCCTGGACAAAACCATTTTTATTTCAAGAAAAAACCCATCAGTATCTTTCCTTAATCATCTGAATAGCAATAAACCCTGAGAGAAAACCATTGCATTCAAAGCTGTACCTTGGAGGAGAGATCTCACTGGAGCATGTTTAAGGGAGATTTTTCCAGCCCTTCTTGAAATTAGAAACTTAATGTATTTTAAAGGGAAAACAATCATTTCTATAATCATAGGTTTCCCTAATCTCAGGGAGGAGGGAAAACATCTTTCAGTGATACACTCAACATACGTATAGCAAAAGTGGAGCAAATTAAGAGACACTCCCTTTTCCCTTGGCTTTCTGGAATTCCAAACCCTCATCAGAGACCGTAATTATTTTGGGAGTCTTTCACTCTTCCCCTCATTAACATGTTTACTTCCTTCTTATACCATTGCATAAATATGTTTGTAATTTTCTCTTCCTGATGTGGCATAATAATTCCACAGCCTGTTTTTGTTTTTAATTCTGTGTGCTGATGAAGTGCTAAAACTGACTTGGCGAATTGCAGAGTGATGCAGACCTTACTGTAGGGAGGGGTTAAGAATTGGTGCACATAAAGAAACGTAATATAAATTTGCAGGTTGATTAATTCTAGTTCCTTTGAGAGATATGTGGCCCTTATAAAGTCCAGCCTTACATCACACAGCATAAAACAACTCTGCCCAATTGCAGTTTTCCCTGCAATACTTTGCCAGCCCTTTTCATAGTTCAAGGCTCTGAGCCAAGGCCATTAAACTTGATTATAGCTGTATTGTGAAGGGTCAAGGCACACATCAGAGCTTGAATCCAGCATCTTAAACACAAGGTTCACTGTATGTCTTCCAATTGTCTTTTGATTTTTGAAATGTGTCAGTTTTTCCCTGTAATGAATTAGAAAATAATGAATAAACAGACTTGCCACAGAACCCTTCCTCCCAATTCCAGCTCCAGAGTACTCCATCCAGCTCTGAGTTCCTCAGTACGTGAAAGACACGGACTTGTTGCAATGAATTCAGAGCAGGCCATGAAGATGATCAGATAGAGCACCTCTCCTACGAAGACAGGCTGAGGGCTGGGTTTTTTGGCATGGAGAAGGCTCCAGGGAGACCTTTTAACAGCCTTGCTGTACCTTAAAGGGGCTTATGACACTAAGTTGAGTGGTGCCATCCCACTCTGGGATGCCATTCAGTGTGACCTGGACAAGCTTGAGAAATGGGTCTATGGGAATCTCATAAAGTTTAATGAGACCAAGTGCAGGGTGCTGCAGCTGGGTCAGGGGAACCCACAGTATCACTACAGGCTGGAGGATGAACAGATGCAGAGCAGCCCTGCTGAGAAGGACTTGCAGTTGCTGATGGATCAGAGACTGGACATGAGCCAACAATGTGGCCTTGCAACCCAGAAAGCCAATTGTATCCTGGGCTGCATCAGAAGCAGTGTAGCCAGCAGGTCAAGGGAGGGGATTCTGATCCTCTACTTTATGGAAATCCCACCTGCAGTGCTGCATCCAGCTCTGAGGTCCTCAGCACAGAAAGGACATCAACCTAGTGGAGCGAGTCCACAGGAGAGCCATCAAGATGTGATTAGAGGGATGGAGCACCTCTTCTATGAGGAAACGCTGAGACAATTGGGATTGTTCAGCCTGGAAAAGAGAAAGCTGTAGGGTGACCTAATTGCAGCCTTCCAGTACCCGAAGGGAACCTACAAGAAAGACGGAGAGAGACTATTTACAAGGCTGTGTAGTGCCAGAAGAAAGGGGAATGGTTTTAAACTGGAAGAGAGGAGGTGTAGATTAGGTATTAGGAAGAACCTTCACTGTGAGGATGGTGAGGCACCGGAACAGGTTGCCCAAAGAAGCTGTGGATGCCCCATCCCTAGAGTGTTCAAGGCCAGGTTGGATGGGGCTTGGAGCAACCTGAGCTAGTGGAAGGTGCCCCTGACCCTGCCAGGGGGGTTGGACTAGACGATCTTTAAGGTCCCTTCCAAGCCAAACCATTCTGATCTTTAAGGTCCCTTCCAAGCCAAACCATTCTATGATTCCATGACGTCTTACAAAAAAAAGCGAGAGCAACCAACAGCTCATTTTTGGGGTTGTATTACACGAACCGTAATTTTTCTACCACACTCGCACGCCTCCCGCACTCCCCACCCCCGGCCGGGGAACCCTTTGGCCCCGCCCCCGGCGGCGCGGTGGGGGTGACGCGCTGTGTCTGCGCCAGCCCCGCCCCGCGGCCGCGCGAGTGCTGCGCGTGGCGGCAGCATGGGCCGGGCCGGCGGGAGCGGTGGGGCGGCGGCGATGGACGCGGTGCGCAGCTTCGAGCGCTGGAAGAAGAAATACACCCGGCGGACGAAGAGGCTGCGGCTGCAGCGCAAGGAGAGGAAGCGGCCCGAGTGGCAGGTAGAGCGGGAGAACATCGCCCGCCTGGTGCAGCGCTACCCCGAGGTACGTCCGGTCCGGTCCGGGGAGCGAGGGGCTCTGTGTGCGGGGCGGGGCGGGGGCGGGCGGGCACGACGGTCCTGCGGAAAAGCGGCTCCCCTCCTCGTGTGGCGCGTCTCGGGATAGGGCTGGGAAGAGGAGGGATGGTATCTGTGTGCGGGTCCTGGGCAGGCGTGGGGAAGCCCCAGTGGTTGGCAGGCTGGTCCTCTGGTTGTCGGCGGGGCCTGTAGGTCACAGGTGTGTCGGGTGATACTGCTGTGTGGCATACAGGATGGCTTTTTACCTCCACGGGGCAGGGATGATGGAAGGATGATTCTTTTCCTTTTTTTCCCCAGGCAGAGGAGGAGGGGGAGTGGTTCTGGTGGAGGTGACTGGCTGTGGAGCCGGGCAGAGTGGGACCCTCGTGGGAGAGTGAGTGGTTGGGGGTGCAGCGAGGAGGACGAGGAGGCTGAAGCAGGTGGTGGAAACAGTTTGCGTGCAGTGGCATTTGGCCCTTCTAACCAGGCAGTGTGCCTTTCTCCGTGTTGGAGGTGGGACACGTTTGTCTCTAAAGAAGGTGCCCGACAAGCAAACATCACACTAGAGGAGTGCGTTGTTTAACCTTAAGTCAGGAAATAGGTTTTTGAATACCAGAGCTGAAGTCAGTGCTGTTGGTTTTGTTGCCCAGATTTCCTTGAATTCCTGTGGGAGATTGTCGGCTTTTGAATGGTACCGATATGTGGAAAGTACTGTAATTGTGGATAACGGGTTAGATGTGCTCTGCCTGTGATGCTGCTCTGCTTCCTACCAAACTTTTGCTGAGTTTGTAGCTGCTGCTGGGGAGGAGCAAGGCAGCTCTGCTTGGTTACACAGCGCTTGGCATAGGTGGTGGTAATCACTTTTTGGTGGTTGTAATTTGATCGAGCAGAAAGTAATGATGAGAGGCATAGAAGAAATGCATGTGTTATTGTGAAGAGGTCACGTTAGCTCCTTTGGTTAAGATTCAGCAAGTTAGTATTCTTAAGGTTAACTTGCTTTACTGTTTGAAAGCAAATGGTATGCTTCCAAAGATGGTCATATTACTGTTTTGAATTACAGATTATTTCTCAAGGGAAAAAAAGGTCTTGTAATTCATTGGCTTTACATTTTTTGATAAAAATTAAAGATTGTAACTATGTAAATGATTAGTACATTCTGTTGTGCATAAATTTTGAGTTAACTTGTTTTGACAATATCTTTCTATTCACTGTAGAAATAGTCAGCTTTCACAGTTACAGCTGGAATTGTTAGAAGCTTGTATTTTTCTGAGTGGGATGACCACTGGTAGATGTGTGTGTCTTTATGGAATGAAAAACATCCTACATTACTACAGTACTGTTGGACTGTTTCTATAACCTAGACTTGAGATGGTTGCCTCTGCATGGTCTCTGGAGGGTCCATGTCTGAGCAAGAGGGAGAAACTGAGTTATAGCAACTTGGCAAAGGCTGTTTATAGAGTTTGTAAACTCTCTACACAGCTCCCTGTGTAGACACCTATAGGCGGACCTATTGTTTATATACCAAATTGCAGTATATACACAATAGATGGCTTTGTGTTTCTGTGTATTTGCATGCAGACAGGGAGTTGTGTAATGAAATTAATTTTGCATGTTGTCAGGCCCTGATAGTTTCTCCATTTAATAATAGTGTGCATTTACTAAATAATGCCATACGCAAAGTAGGCTGCTGTGTTCCGTTAGGGTACTATGGCAATATCTAGCTATTCTTTCTTCTCTATTTCTTGTTTTGGAGTCCCATCACTAGACTTAATACTCTGGGCATTGTTCTCATAGATAAAGTGATCGAATTTAGGGGTTGGCTTTTCCTCTAGTGTAGTAGATACATGTGATCCGAAGCTTAAGTGGTATGTTGCTCCTGTGCACTGAAATTATATGTATATGGTACGGACATATTGAGAGGTAGGAAGAGGATCACCACAGTCATCAACTGCAGGAACTGCTGGCTATTTAGCTTTTTTTTTTTTTTCCTATGAGACTGAATGGCTAAACATGGCACCTATTCATAGAATCGTAGAATTGTTTAGGTTGGAAAAGGCCTCTAAGATTGAGTCCAACCGTTAACCTACCACCACCACTAAACTATATCCCCAAGTACCACATTCACATGTTTTTTGAACACTTTCAGGGTTGGCAATTCCATTTCTTCCCCAGGAGGTATATTCCAATGCCTGACCCTGTCATGTGTCCTAATGACAGTGATGACAATAAAAAATCCTAATTGCTTAGAAGGAGGCAGGAAGAATGCATGAAGTAGAAAATTTATTTTGGGCATTCAATCTCAGAGATGAAGTGACAGAAATATTTTCAAAAATATCTCTGGGAAGCTGGCTCCCAGAAGCTGGCTGGGAAGCTCCTCCACTCGATGCTGCCTCTGCCACTTTGTTCTCCCTATACCCAGCGTATTTGTTCTCCATATACAGTTTTGCCATATTTATGCTGTGTGTGTATTAAATCCCTACACACATCCCCATCTATTACCATAGTTCTTATGGGGAAAAATTGCTTTGCTATCCGTTGTACCACTCTGCTTTGCAGGAAAGTGTCCCTGGCTGATAGTGGAGTATGACTGTGTTGCTTACAATGTATATTAGCAGCAGAGGAGTTCAGAAGAAACACACAAGCAATGAGGGGATGATAAGGGGATGATAGAGCTTCTTTTTTCCATAGTGAGGTCAGTATTCCTTTCTTATCCTCAATAATTTTGGGGCGGTACATCTGGATTATGGTGGGTAGGTGTGCAATTCTCAGACTTTTTAATTTGATTAGTCCCCATTGAGATTTTCTGCAGTAGTCTGTTCCTGTACTCTTAGCATTAACTATTTGGTGTAATACTTAAATGCAGTCACTTTTCCCTGAAGCACACCCTATACCTTTGACACTTGCATTTAATTTCCACTCATTCTACATAGATTTGTCTTTCTACTGGCTTTATGGTCACCGTCTGTCAGTTGCTTCCCTGGATACCTGCATTTATTTGCTATATATGTGGCTGTGTGAATGTGTAGAGATGCTTTTGTGTCACTAATGTGACTGCACATGCGCCTATTTCTGGGCATGGGTAATAATTCTGTGTCTCTATGGACCTTGGGGCGGTTAAGAATTGGGTAGTGGGAGGCTGTGTTTGTGTGTATTTTTAGAGGTTGAAGAAAAGAGGCTGGTAGTGGTCAGGCATATGTCTGCCAGAATTAAGACAAGGTAAACATATGTTAGTATTAGGATGGTGCTGGGGGCTCCTGGTGTAAATTCTTCTGGGGATCTGCTGTCCTCTAGCTCCAGGAGTCTCCTGCCTGTGAACATTCAGGTGGATGCCCGCTAAGCTTTTTATCTTCTGTCCTTCAGCTTTTCTCTTCTGGTCCCTAGCATGGTTTTCTACTTTGTCTCCAGTGTTTCTTCTGTATTACCCTGGATTTGGTTAAAGTGGGAGTGGGGATTGTGAGGAAGCACCATGTGCTTGGATCTAAAGGGGTCTCCAGTGAGTTCTGTGTGAGGTAGATCCCTTCTTAGGGACAAGGGAGCTAGAAAGCTCTTTGGTAAGCTCCTCTCTGTGAAGTGCACTGGCTGGGGTCTCTGTCACGCAGGCTATGTGCTTTTCTCATGAATGTGCCGTGGAATTGGGGTAGCATGGCTGATGGATGCATGAAGATCCACCTTGCCCTCCTGTCTATAATTTCCTGTGTGAGAATGTCTGCAGTGGGTAAACAAGACAAAATTAATAATGAAGAGGTAACCAATATACTTTGTTACTGGATTTTTTTTAATTTGTTGACGTGATGGCAAGTGTGTGGCAGCACAGATGCAAAATGTGAAATTTAGTTCCAATGGGTCGAAATCATGGGACCATTTTCTGTGTTATGTGTTCGTAGGTTGTCTGTTGATCCAGTGACTTCATTGCCTAATTGTCAGGCCATTCATGGACATGGTCCATTCCATCCAGTTGTGCTCATGAAAAGTATTGAGCACCTAACTGATGTGCTGATGAGCTGTTTGTGAAAAATTCTTTCTAGTGTGCTTTATGTCAAATTAATTGAGTTAGATCAGAATGGCATTTGCAATATTTGAAACGAGCTGGCTCCTCTCACGAGTATAGATTCCCAGCAGATTAGCAGAAGTAGTAACTTCTAGCAGGGAAACAAGCTAAGTAGAAGTTGGTGGTGTTTTCCACTGGTGCATGTAGATATAAAATAGAGCTGTCAGAAAATCTACCTCTAACACTGGGTCTTCTTATGCCTGCCATTTGGACTTGACTTAAAAATAAGCCAGTATTTTTGGAGTTTAAGGGTACTATTGCATATCCTTCTTCTGCTTCTAGGAGTCTGTAGGGCAGAGAAATAATAGAGGAAGCTTTGTGACACGGCCTCTCCTAACATTCCTCGCTCTTTTAATAGTGTTCTCACTTCTTTTCCTTGGACATCTTTAAAAGAGCTAGGCTTATGCATGCAATGATTTTTGAATTGATTTAGAGAAGTGTAAGGTGGAGGAGCAGAACAATATTTGTCTTTTTTGATTAATATATCTGTTCTTACTGAGTCGTCTAGAGTTAAAAAGAAGTTGAGTACTGAAATACTTTGTGTCCTTAATTATTTAGAACAATTTCACATTGGCGTAATAGCCTGTTTGATATTTTACAAACCTTCTAAAATCTATCCCTTCAGTTGCACATAATCAATTGTGTGAATTCTTTTTTGATGTTGGTAAGATACTTTACCCTTCTGTAGGAATACTGTTTTCCTATTCACAGTTTCTTGGTTGAAATTAAACCAAAGCTGTACACATAACTGAGTTGTGATTATTTAGCATGTGAGACTGGGAATTAGCCAAATATTTCATGGGATATATCATGGCGAGGCTTCGCGAACGAAGATTTGGGATCATGGGATATATAGTGTCTTCAAAATTATCAATTGAATTTGGAAATACTTTTCAAAATTTCCAATTTGTGCAAGTCAAAAAGAGACTTTTAAAATGGTGATTTCTGAGAAGAGTTTTCCCTCCTCCCGAATAACATTTCCAAAAGTTTAATTGTTCTGCTAGGGTACAGTGAAAGCTTGAAATTTGTCTTGCAAAGAACTATGTCTTGAAATATGTTGAAGCTAGGTTTTAGTAAGGGTGTTATTACCTTTTATCTATTTTTACCTTTTATTATAGGGATTAAATTCACATATTAAATTACTTATCTTGATTTTATTAGAGAGAACTAGCCTGAAAAGAGTGGTGTCATGATTTAGATGCTTTAAACAGCTATAACCCCTCAGTTTTCTATAATAGGCAGAGCCTGTAGAAGGCTTGGTACTTCAAGTAGATATAAAGCTCATCTGACAGCTCGGTAGCCCTTCATCTGAGGCCTTCTTTGAAATTGTTATCACAAGATGTCAAGAAGATCTGAGGACCGTTTTGCTTGGTTCCTGTGTTGGGAGATTTCTGTTCAGCAGTCTGTTAGAATGAAATGATACTAGTTAAAAAAGCAGGAAGTGTGTAAGCTTTGAGTTTGACATTTGGAAATCTCAGTTTATGGATTCTAGTCAGTATGCATTCAAAGCTGTGTAGTCTACCTTCCTCTTTTTCAGCTCAGGCTTTATAGACTCAGTAGTCAATTTTTTTTTTCCTTGAGTTCTGTGTTTTTGTTCAGCCCTGCTACTATTAGTTGTGAACTTTGCCAGTCAAAGCTGTTCACATTTTTTAATTACCACCTAACTGCTAGAACAGTTGCAAATATTATGTTTTTCTCAAAATCTCTACTTGACATCTCAGCATCTTTTTAAATCATTGAGCCAACTCATGGACTGAAACACATGCTATGTAATTACACATGTGTGTGTAATTAACAGCTCTCAAGTATAGATGCATACAGAGAAGTAAATTAGCACAATGAACTACTTTTTTAGTATCTGGGGTTCTTTTTACCTTGTAGGACAGCTCTAAAAAGTAAGTACACCAAGTGCTAGAGATTGGTGAATCTTGTGAGCTTCAGGACACTGAAGCTTCTGCCTCTCCTGTCTCAGTCAGGTTGTTGCAATATTGCTGCAGTTCTGGGTGTCCATATCTGCCCTGCAGTGAGGGTGAGTGTATCTTCCCAGTAGGTGTGCCTGGGTACACACATGTCCAGCCACAGCTGAACACAGACAGAGCAGTACCTTTATTGGCACACACACAGAGTGCTTGCACACAATAAATGTGGGCGGCAGGTGCTGTTCCTCTCTGTCTGATGAGGATTAACATCCACTAGTGAAATATGTACTCACAACTGGCATTAGTTACCCAGCCCCAGAGCTAACTCAGGCCCCAGTTTTCCCAGGTGCTGGCACTGGCACCCTCCAGCCTCTGAGGTTTGTGGTCCCATTCCGGTTACTGGCACTGGGCTCAAGTGCTGCTGTCCACTCATCCCACTTGAAGGTTGCTGGTGGTCTCTCATGCAGGCTTAGAACAGACAGTGTGCCCACAAAGAAAGTCAATGGAGAGAATGTAAGAGTAATTTTTTTTATTGTTATTACTGTTAATAAAATAAATGATATGTAAAGATATTTAGTAAGACTGTAGGGCAGGCTGTAGTGATGAGGTACAGGGCTCAGTCAGGGAAGTGTGTACTGACCAGCCAGCTGTCACCCAGACCAGCCCCTTTTTATCCCCTTTTGCGTCTATTTTCTCATGTGGGTTCCTCCCCAGTCCACCTTGATCCCTTCTTTTCCCTGTCTTTGATCCTTACCCTACACATCCCATAACAAGTCTTACACATTCCTACAGCCCCCTTAAAACACCCCTTACGAGGTTGTCCAGTGTCCTCAAATGCTTTCCCCCCCGCCCCGTTCCCTCTGAGCCTTGTGCACCTGCAGGAACTGATCCCTGCCATTCTGCAGTGCCTTCTGGTGAGGGGGCAGCCCCACTAGTGCCTTGGTAGAGTTCACCGAGGAACCCTGAGCTGACCCCTCTGCTCCAATGGTCCCAGGGAACACCTGAGTCAGGGTGCTGTAACTCTGTATGCAGTGATAATGTCAGTGAGGCACCTTCCCATCACTGTTCCACTGGTTCTTACGAAGTCTTTGAGTTCACAGCTGTTAATCTTTAATCACATAACCTAATACTAAACATATGCAAAAGACGCTAGCACCGCAGAGTCAAAATGGAGAACTGGAGTGGTAGAGGTATCTTTCTTATCTGGAGCTATTTCCTGAAGTGTTTGTTTACCAGGCCTTTACCCTGCAGGACACTTACCTGCTTTAGTGATGTCCAGTCTCATACAGCAACTGGAATACATTTCATCCTCATTGCTTCTAGAGATCTGAAAATATAGATGCGAAAAGAAAGCTAAGCTCTAATAAGGTGGAGATGAGAGACCTCCTGAGGTTCTCTTCACTCTAAATTGTTCTGTGATTTCATGATAATCTGAGCTTTAAATTGTGCTATTAGCCTGTGTTATTTAAGTATATTTTATTACTTGCTGAACAGCTTTTGGAAGAACAGTGGTTTGGCTTAGGTCAAACTAGTATAGATTGCCTGACTTGGATCAGGTCATACTGAACTGCTACATATTTACTATGTAAACACCAACTTAAAGAATGCTATTTAATTTCTCTGTTATGGTTAGATTGTAAGCACTGATCAAAATTATTTTTTTTCAGATAAATGCAAGTGAAATCCAAAGATTTTCAGATTTTCCATTGTCAAAAAAAACCCTAAAAGGTGAGTATGGAAGTTTTCTTTAGAAAATAATGTAAGTAAAAAAGAAAGTATTATTTATCTGCATCTGAATGTTTTTTTTTGCTTTAAATTAAGTTTTAGATAAGTGTTGCTATGTACAGCATTTTCTAAACAGAGGAATAGAGTCTTGGGCCATACAAAACTAAATGAAGTTTTTTTCTTTCTTTTTTTTTTTATTCCTCTTCCCCTCCCACATTCTCTCTTCTCTTCCCACACTGCACATACTAGGACTGCAGGAAGCTCAGTATCGTGTGGTAACAGAGATACAGAGGCAAACCATAGGTTTGGCTTTACAAGGTAAAGATGTACTCGGAGCTGCAAAGACTGGATCAGGCAAAACCTTGGCTTTTATTGTTCCAGTAAGTAATTTATATCCTTCCATTTGTATTCAAACCAAGTTATCCATGAAGTATTGACGTCAGACATTTTAGGTTAATAGATCCCGAGAGAAAAGTCACAATTCAGCTGATCTAAGTGTTCTAAGAAAGCCAAGATACCAATTTAATAAAGCTGCTTGAGGTTCTGAAAGAAGCGTGTTTTTGGCAATGGGAATATTCTGAGACTTAAAAGTTTCATTTTAGTCCTTACATGAGTAGACCCTGTGTGATTTAGCAAGTGCTTTGTTTTTCTCTCAGGAATGTTTCCTGGTGCAACTCTAGTTGTTCAATTCTGAAAACTAAGTATATGAAGTAGAATGGTGAATTTTCTTCAGTTCCTTAGAATTTTTTTTAGATGAGTGGTTTTCACTCCTTTAAAATGTAAGAATTTGGACCTTATATAGCAAACTTAACCTTAGTGATTGTGGACTTCCATTTCCTTGTCTTTTGTGAACTTTGATATCGCTTCTGGGAAAAACTGGATGAAAACCCTTGTCATGGATATATGTGTTTGACAGTTTTACTCAATACATCATGAAATGCATTTCATTTCTTTGTGCTGAAAATATAATTGAGACGTGTGCTAAAAGTGCACATATAAGTGGATACAAATCCCATCATAGTATTTTTATATGAAGGGAAAAATAAATGTTTTGATTATGGAGTTACTTTGTTTTAAACGTTACTTGCATTTTTCTAAGCATAAATTTCTTTGGAGCCTATTTTATCACTAACTATGAGAACAGTAGAAAATTCTTTGAATACTTGCTGTAGTTGAGAAGACTTATGCTTTATGCTGTTTTTTAAAAAAGTATTTTTTACTAGTGAAGAATAAAAAATATAGGAGGGTTCAAAAGATAGTCTTGTGAATTTGAGAAACAGAAGTGAGATTGCTCAGTTACTTTATCTAAGAGTAGAAGTACTTTGTTTTACAAACCTTATTTTAAAACAATTTTAGAGAAGAAGAGTGCTAAGAGAGGAGCTGAAGAGATGAAAAATGAAAAAAAAATTAACTGTACAAGGATGTGTAATAGCTTTCAGTATTCCAGAAGGCTTCAGATATTCATACTTGTAAAGTCTTTTGTTAGGATTAGCTGACTAAGACAGTGTTTCTGCAGTGTGAATTCCTAAGAGAAGGAATAATCCTTGTCTGAGCTGCAACTTTAATTGGAGTGCTCTCTGTAACATGGATAGTACTGCTTCAAACCTATAGCCAGAATTAAAGCTTCAATAACTAATGTTCTTGCAGTTGCTCATTCTGTTTCTGGTTCCCACAAAACCTTACGAGCAGGGAAATTTATCATGTTTTTCCACACTAATTTCAATCATCATGTAAATGATTAAGGCCTAATTTCCACAATTTAGCAGGGTAGGATTAATTGTGCAGTAAAGTATTTATGATTTACCACCCATTACTGTCTGTCATAGGTTGGTACTGGAGAACTTTGCTACTGCAAGTATCATTACCATTAGTTAAAATTTATATATAATCAACCTATGTGAAGTGGACACTGATGTTTCTTCATGTCATTGCTTTAGTTAACGTGGCTTTGTCTTTTTTTTAATGACACTTTTTGTTACAAACTTGTTGTTACATATTTTCCTTCTGAGATTTTTATAGTGTTAATATGTTAATTGTTTTCAGGCTTTGGAACTCCTGTATCGCCAACAGTGGACTTCCGCTGATGGACTGGGAGTCCTGATAATATCGCCGACCCGGGAACTGGCATATCAAACCTTCAAGGTTCTGCGTAAAGTGGGAAAGAATCATGAGTTCTCAGCTGGTCTTGTCATTGGAGGAAAGGTGTGTCCTCTCTTGGAGTTTGCTGTATGGAAGCATAATTGAGTGGTATATTAAGTACTAGTTTAGGAAGGAAACCCTGGGATCAAAAACTCAGGGAAGAGAGCAGTTAATGGGAATATATCAGCGACCCACTTGTTTTCCTATGTGTACTCTGTCTTTTGAAGCTTTTGCATATTTACAATCTTCCAAGGTTCCATGACTGAATGGACCTTCCTGCCAAGCCTTCCAGGACTGTCTTGTTAATTTAGATTATTCTGAAATAACGTTTTGCTTAGGCCGCAAGTGTGAGCGTGCTGAAGAAATGACGATTTATCTGTGGAAAGAGGAGAGGCTGCTCCTTAACTGTTCTTTCTAAAAATTATCAGTAGGTTAAGCTGACTTGACCATGTCTGGTACTGGGCTTCTAGTTTGAACAACTTGAGCTAAGCTGGTTTAACTCCTTTTCAGGATCTGAAAGAAGAGTCTGAAAGAATACACCACATAAATATGCTAATTTGCACTCCAGGACGGCTTCTACAACACATGGATGAAACTTCATATTTCTATGCATCTGATCTGCAAATGTTGAGTAAGTTTTTCAAGTACTTGCAAGTATTTGGGAATATTTAGTAACAGTTCATAACTGTATGAAGCACTTTCTTGGGTAAAAAGTTTATCCTTGTCATGGTATATACATGAAATGGCTTTTAAGCTCACACATGTCCAAATTAAATTAGAAAACAGCAGAGCCACTTTCTTCTTTGTACTTTCTCTGAAGCTGTTGCTGAGCATGCTTTCCTTAGGGTGATAAGGACAAGTAGGTGAGTTAGTAAGGCACTCAAGCACAAATGTAGTGTCTCATATAATCCTTTATATCTTTATATCCTTTATATAGCCAGACTTTCCTTTCTGGCTATAGCTCTTGTGTTTTTCTTGACATGATCGTTAACTATCTATAATGAATATTCATTGCAGTGTGTGTATTTTGGACCAGTTCTAGAAAACATTTTTCTTTGTATTTTAAGACAGATTTCTACTCCTTTTTAATATTTCGTTAGCATTGTTAACACTGTTCATTTACATCCTTCCAACCTGAACAAAAATTTTCAGCATAATGAAAAAGCTTGCCTGCCACTAAGAACTGCATAATCATTAGCATAGCTTCAGGAATGTAGAAGCAATTAAGAAGCTAATGAAGCTGATAAAATGTAAAATTATGCTTGCTACACTTAGTACAATTCATGGCAGACAAAAATTGCATTAAACATAGGCTCTTTTCTTAAGGCTTTGTCTCTGTGCTACTCGGTTTATATCCTGTATTTCAATGGTAAATTTAACTTAGGAGAGGTTGTTTTGCTCTGTCATGAATAGTACAGCACGGTTTTATGTTCCATGCTTTTATTTCAGCAATAGGAAAGGGAGTCTGTTTACCAATTGCTGAGCTGTTTACTTGAGATGCTGAACTTTTTGCTTCAGTGTGTGAAACTGAGGGCTGTAGTGCATAGATTATGGGAAATGCTATGATTTCTGTTGCAGGTTGTTTTAAAAACATTTTATGAAATACACAAATATCTAAAGAGAATCCTGTTATATACAGGAATTAAGTTAATCTCTGCAGTTTAAGTACAGATGGAATTTTGTACTATATAGATTTAATGTAGGGTTTTTTTTAAGTAATTAAATCTAAAACCAGATTTTCTCAACTTTATCCCTCAATCAAGTTCTCGATGAAGCTGATAGAATTCTAGACATGGGGTTTGCTGATACAATGAATGCAATCATAGAAAATCTACCTAAGAAACGCCAGACCTTGCTTTTTTCTGCAACACAAACAAAATCAGTGAAGGATCTTGCACGTCTGAGTCTGAAAGATCCAGAATATGTTTGGGTTCATGAGAAGGCCAAATTCAGGTATGTTGGGCTATTTTTTTTTCTGAGGGGTTAAGCAGATAGTGGTTCTACTTAACTGCTTCTCTGACTGTCAGTTTCCTGAATCAGAAGGGTTTTTTTGCATCCTCCTCCTTTCTGCAGTGTCTGCTGTGTGTTTTCCCTGAAAGCAAGAAGTTTCCAGATAAGAGGGGACTAGTTCTGACTGAATCATTACAGGGAGGCTGAACCTGTGCTTGTCTCCTGTCTCCTCAGGCAGCTTCTCAAACTGGACATTTTTTTCCTTGCGAGGAAGCGCCAGAGTGGATTATAGCCTGAATGGAGTAGTGTCCTAGCAGCACTCAGTTCTGAATTGCTCCTTTTTTGTTGTTTGGCTTCCTTGCCTCCTGCATGTGCATACTTGCTATGCACAACCACCACGTCTGTTGCACAAACACAGTTTGTCTGTGTGCTGTTTATAAATCTGGCTTTCCAAGGAAATGCAGTGCTAGTGGGAAAATGCAGAATGGCAGCAGTCCTGTTTGTGTGTTCAGTATTAGGTGCCCAGAAGAAAGCATGTGGTGGTAGTGCATGTGTAGTAAGTCTTGTGGCTTCCTGACGTGCTGCATGTTCTGTGCATGTTTAAGACTCTGCCCTTTGCACGCAAAATAAATTTGTCATGCCTTACAGTTTGGAGCAGGATGGGAGGCCCTTGCTAGGAATGAAGTATGTGGTCTGCCAGGCTAAGAGAATTTAATGTATCACTAAATGAAAAAATATACATGTTGCTTTTTGGCACGTTATTTTCTTTTGAAATTGAAATGAAGCATGTTATTTATTTTGCATTTCTGTGGGCTTGATCATCTGGGTGTCAAATTGCTTATGAACACGGATGATTATTTTTCTGCTCTTCTATGAAATATGCATATATTTCCATATATAAAATACAGGGGAAAGGTGAAGCATTGTGATAAAAATGGCTTTTCCAAGAGCAAACAAGAAATCATCCGGAAAATGCACAGCAGAACCACATTGAATCTTGAGGGAGTTTTAACTATTTGATTTGATTATCTCTGTATTGTACTGCAAATACTTTCAGCAGTACTGTCAAAGGCATCTGAAATAATCATGATTTCTAGAAAAAAGTCTGTGAATAATATCTTCTTAGCAGAAGAGGATATATAAGCCTAATGTGTATTCTTCATTTTGAGGGCTGACTCTACATCTGTTTCACAGATCTCACATATTTTGTGAAGTCTGTTTTTAAGTACATTTAATTTTTTTAAATATTTGGGAGAATGCACTTAGGTAACAAACTGAAACAGAAAAAAGGAAAGTATTAATGTGTTTTAGAATTTACTGCCTTAGTAGTAAAAGGTTACTGCCTTATGAAAGCAATTTCCTGTGAAAGACGTAAAAAGTGAAAAGTGCTATGGCATAATTGAACTTGAATAGCAGAATAAAAACTGGAGGAGTCTCTTGTAATTTCATCCTCCCAAGTGACCACCTTTAGAAAAGTAATTTTGAATACCTTTGGTGTGTTTAGAATGAAGCAGAGGGACTGTAAGAGGTGAGCATTTAGATGTGTTTCAAGGGCAAATTTACCAAAGAAGTTTTTGTTGTTTTATTAAGAGCAGAAATGTGAGATAAGGTGACAATTCAGAGCTTTAGAAAGTTACCTTGCGTGTCAGGGTAATCAGTAGAAGTACATCAGTGCTTTTTTTTTGTGCATGATTAGACTCTGCTTTGACATTGCTTTAAGCACAAATGATGCTTTAATAGGACTAATAGAAAAAATTGCATGTAAGTCAAGGCAATTTGAATGTCGCTGCTTAGACATGGAAAGAGTTTGCCTTGCTAGTAGTAAATGAATTTAGAAGTAATGTCAAAAGTCGTCTGTGCCTCCTCACTGGCTTTTAGTAAGGAAATTGATTCATCTTTCAAGAGTTGCTTTCAAGTGGAGCTGCTAAGACGTGTTCCTCAAAGTGGGGGAACTTTCCAGACTGACTCCTTTTCTTTTCTCCTCTTTTCTGAGTATCTATAAGACACTCTTGACTTAAAAGAAAGGTCAAGCATCTCCGTAGATGTATCGAAATACACTTTTTTGGTGTGGTTTTGTTTTTCTTTTTTTTAGTACCCCAGCAACTTTGGATCAGAATTACGTTGTCTGTGAACTTCAGCAAAAAGTAAACATGTTATACTCTTTCCTGAGAACTCATTTGAAAAAGAAGAGCATTGTGTTTTTTGCAAGCTGTAAAGAGGTATGGCTTTTTCTTCCCTCTCCCCCCATAGCATTTTAAAGCAAATAAAATGAAGATATTAATGTAGATTTCAAGGCACCAGAGAGGTGAGATTCTGGACTAGTTTGCAATAGGAAATTGGAGGAACAAAACAACACCTACTGCTGTAGACGTGTCATGCAGGGCCTGGCTTCTGGATATTTGGCGACCCAGGCTCAATGGAAAAAGGTTCTGGAGACTCAGCCATTTTTATATTCTGCTGTTAAAAACTAATGCTAAAATTATTGTCAGTTGGTCAGTTGGTTTTGTCTCATGACACGTTTTGTAGTTAGCTTACACAGTATTTCAGGAGGTGTACCTGGTTTCTTTACAAGCTTTTAAGCCTGCCTATTTGAGGAATTATAATTGTGAAATAGTACAGCAATAGGTTTTTCTTACATAGGAAGTAATCCTTCAAATCCTTGTATAAATATCCCGGGACCATTCTGTTGAAGCTACTTGTATGTGTTTATGTGGCGCAGATATTTGTAACTACTGCATGTATCAAGTATTTTACAACATACAATAGTATAGTAAATATTCATTGCCGTTCTTCCACTTGTGTAAGAGGTTACAATATTTTTGTTGTTCTGCAGTTGACTGGTGAGGAGAGTGCAGCAGTAGGCTTAGTTGTACGGAAGTTCTCTGAGCTGCAGCTGTTCCTGCAATAGACACAGTTTCTGTAACTATTTTATTAAAATAATATTACATAGCGGCCTGCTCTAAAATGGTGTTGCATCATAGGTACTGTATGTAAGAGTAAACAGGCTGATTTTGTAAGAGAAGCTGTTGAAGCTTGAAATAATAAACTGAGACTGTAGACTGCTTTGAGTTGCAGTATAGAACACAACACCCCTCCAGTATTGCCTCAAAGCAGTGCTTCTGGTGGGCTTTGGTCCCTTGCCTACAGCCTAACTAGTCACGTCCCAAGTCATTCTTGCTGTTAGCTACTCTGGTTTCTTTTAGGAAATGTCATAAAAAGGCATGCCAATGCATGCCTTCCGCAGCTGGTTTCTTCTTTTATCTTCTTTAGTACCTGAGTGTGTTGACAAAGTCTCAAAATAGCATCTCTTGTCAATGATGTGGAGAAAAGTTTATTTATTTTGGTGTACTAAGTCAGTTGCTGTGTACTGTATATGATCTTTACAAGTTTAACATTGCATGGTAATTTCCCCCCTCTCCCGATTTGTTGGGTAGGTCCAATATCTGTTCAGAGTTTTCTGTAAGCTTCAGCCTGGTCTTCCTGTACTGGCACTCCATGGCAAGCAGCAGCAGATGAAGAGAATGGAAGTCTACACTTGCTTTGTTCGGAAAAAGGCAGCAGTACTTTTCGCTACAGATATTGCAGCTCGTGGTCTGGGTATGTACCCACAGAAGCGGTTATTCACAAAGTGATCACCTAACCCTGTTGAGGCTTTATCAGACTTTATACTCTGAAGACCAACTCGATTTGTGAAAAATGAAGCTGTAGTCTGATTAGGAGCTCACTAGGGTAACTCAAAAAAAGAGAGATGCTTCTTAGAGTTCTGCTGTTTCTTTACTGAAGAGGCCCGCTTAATCTGTGCTTAATCTTTCTTTTTGTCCCAGAAAAACTTTTGTTGTATGAAAATGGTGATGTATTTGCTTACTGCATGCCATAAGGTGAGATTTTAGCAGTTTTAAATATTACTGATACGCCTATATCCTGTGGGTTATTCCAAAGGATATGAAAAATTACTAACCTACCAGCATGTGGAAAGAACTTTTAATGTCTGAAATATGAATGGCTTTATATATGTGTTGTGTAAAGAGATAAAAAAATAGATGGGGGTAAAAGCAAGTATATTTATAGGATCTATTTTGAGCCAAGAGTTTCTTACGTTTGGGCATTACCTGCTGCATTATGATTTACTTCTTTGGACTTCTTTTTTCTTTTCTTTTTTTTTTTCTTAGTACTTGGAGGCATTTAGGTATGACACAAGACTTTTCAGGAGTTCACCTATTGTTTCAGATAGCAAACTCTGTTGTCCAAAAATGTGAGGTTTTGTCATTATGCTACAAAAGGAAGGAAGGTGCTCTAAAAGATGAAGGCAGAAATGAAAACTTTATCAAAACTTCTATACTGCTGAAATGTCACCAGTGAGGATCTAATTTGCATGTGGTTGGTTGGTTTTAGAGCATGGGTATAATAAATGTGGAATACAGCATAGCTACAGACTTGGTCAGGAAGTAACTCAAACTTAGTCCCAGGCAAAGCATGCTGCTGCTTTGTGAAGTACAACAGTTAGAAAATGCTTATTAATAATATCATTCACAGTCAGTGTTGACTTCTTTGTCAGTCTTGGTCACACCCCTGCCTTGCCCCCCTGCATCTTTGAGAGGGACTGTGGTATTTCTGTATGTGACAGATGAAGTGCTGTCTCACCACAGCTGACTTCAAATCCCAGTGGTGTAGGATATTAATAGTGTGAGTGAAAAGTGGGTCAGATATTGTTATTTAGTTATTACATATAGTGGTGTTTTATCATCTGTGTGACCCAAAGCATGTCTGTTCTTGTCAAGTGTGAAATGACGTTCCATTCATTGCACTGTCATAATTTAGGAAATGAAGACACAATTAATTTTAACTTTTTTTGTTGAAGAGAATGATTGTTTATGTATGCTAATACATGCAGTTAATTTTATTTTTATTTCAGAGGTTGAACCCAATGACTGTAAATGAGTCCAAATGATGGTTCTTAGAGGAATTAATGCTTCAAAATAATGTGTTGCTCTTGAATAGGAGGTTTTTCAGTACACTGAGCTTAAATATTGACGTATTTTTTTCTTTACACAGATTTTCCAGCAGTGAACTGGGTCATTCAGTTTGATTGTCCAGAAGATGCAAACACATACATCCACAGAGTGGGAAGAACAGCCAGGTTTGTTTTCACTTTTCATTAGTATTTTAATGTTTAAAACTAGATCACTGTAGGGAGAGATAGTTGGCTAAAGATTCACTCAAAAAAAATCAAGATATAAATTGGAAACAAAGAAAAAGGCTTTTATCACTAAAAGCCCCATTTGATTAGTTAAGAACAATGATTTAACTTAATGATTTCTTAGCTTCAGAGACTTGCTACAGCAGACAAAAACCGTCCCTGGTTGTTTCATCTGACCAGGGAAGATTAATAGTGAGGAAACGGAAAACCTTTTGTACTTGACAGGATTACCTCAAAGGCTGAGTTGAGCATATTTGTGAGTGGAAAAGCTTGTTTTACCACTGACATTTATAGTTAAATAAGGTTTTAGACTGTGGACCTAATTTCTTAGTGTCATTGAAGACTCTTCAAAAGAATGGAAATATTTCTTCCTTATTTTAATTTGGGGAGCAAGGAATCAAATAATGTTAATTACAGGTTAAATTTTTAATTTTCTAAGTCTTTTGTAGAATTACATTCTTAGGCATAGCTTTAGTTTAAATATTTGTGACTAACTCTTTTTGATGGAAGGGAGTTACCCAGCTACACTGTTGGAAACCAGGTCCTTGATCTCTGAAGTAGATTTTTAACAGAAACAAGAGCTGTCACTGCATATAATTCAGTAAATCAAAAACTTTAAGCAATTATCTGAAAGATGAAATGCAAGACCTGGCATTATATCTTGTTTATTATTTAATTTGTTTGTAGTAGGGTTTGCAATATTGGCGGTTGTCAAACCTAATGACAGAGCAGTTGCTTAGAGTAGGACTTCAACATTATAGAAATTTGAGATCTGTGTTCATGGATCAGAAGGCTATAAATTTTGGTGACCATACCAGCTCTCTTTCAAAATGTGGAAGTTCTGTGTTTCATTGTACTTGGTAACATTTCTGCCCCATTCTGTCATGTGCTTTCCATTTTCTGATCTACCTGCTATAGTAGAAGGGAACGATAAGTTTTTAAATGCTTTTGAAAAAAAACCTATCAATGAACAAAACCAGTGAATGTTACATATAATTAAATAAACCAACTACCTGTTTTGCTAAACTAAAATTTAAATGTAATCTTATGCACACCAATTGAGAGAAAAGCCTTAGTTAAAATTCTGTGGTGTTTTTTATTTCTTCTTCTTCTTTTTTTTTTTTTTAATCCCGCGTGGTTTCCACAGAAGGCTTGTAATTTTGTGTTTATGGCATATTGTCATCATATGAAAGAAAACAATATATTTGGCACTGTTTAATTGCCAGCTTCTAGGAGACTTGAGCTCTTCCTGAGCCGTGTTGCTGAGTTAAAACACCTCTTGAGTTGTAATCCTCAGGCCTTTTCCCAATTCTCATTAGGAGCTGAGAAGAGCGATTGTAAGTAGTTTAGCTCAGGGAAACAGCTCTGAAGAGCTACAAAGACAACTATCTCCCCTTTTTCATTACGCTTTTATTCAAGTGTCACTCTGAGGAGGATGTTAGCATGACAACCTTAAGGGCCTATCTTCAGTGACCTCTTAAATACAATCCTCTATGATTGCTCAAGGAACAGATTTAGACAGAAAATTGGGGCAGAGATTCTGTCTCATGGGCCCGGGGCTGTGCTGGATGCCTCACTGGGCTGTAGTTTTACATTTCCTTTTACGTGGATTTTTCAGTAGGCAGACCTTACAGAAATTGGGAGTGCATCAAAGCAAGTTGTTTGAGCTGGCAGGAGGGTGACTGATAGTGAAACAAATTCCTTTTATAGGAAGAGCTTCATGAGTGTTTTCTGTTTCTTAATCTGATACAAACATCAAGGCAGGTTCTACCTATACTGGGTATTAATTTTGAAGAAACATACAGACTTTTTCCATCTTTAAGGTAAAGTAGTCCTGGAAAGAGGAAAGAAATTCGTTCAGGAAACTTAATGGCATGAAATAAATCTTCGAAAATAAAACAAGGCAGATGTCTAATAATTTTGAGTGGATACTGTACACTAAGTAAATATGCTAATGAAATTTGAGTGTTGAGTAGGAAGCTTCACTTGTTTTCAATAGCTGCAGTTAGTATGAGAAGCTTATTTCTTCTAGAAACTTGATAAAAATGAACTGAACTGCAGTTTAGTAGTCCTTGTTAATGAGGTTAGAGATCATTGCAATTTTTCATGGGTTATGACAGTGTATAATTGCATGGAATGAAAACTAAATTAAATATCTCAGCTAAATTAGAGGCTGTGTTAAACTGTAATTAAAACTGAGATGCCACATACTGTTTACTTTTGAAATAAAATTATTTTGTGATACAAAGGTAAATATGAAAGTCAGGAGAGAAACTGTGTTGGGGATGGGGCTGAAAAACCTTTGACTAACAATCATGGATATGTTTCCAGATCTGTTTTACAGTTTTGCAAAGCTTGATCTAAGATGAAAGATAATGGTTTATTTTTAAGTGGATCAGACCACTGTGTTCCCTAAGTAGCATTTCACTTGTATTTTGTCCTGTTGAAGAACATAAATTGCAACTCCTGCATTTTTGATTTATCTTAAAGTAAGATCAGGAAAATCTGGGTGTTGTCCAGTAATGCTTTTACTTTGTAGTAGAGTTGACATATATTGAGTGATGTTTAGTTGTTTGGTTTTTTTTCCTGTAAAGTTGAAATGTATGCTAGAATTGGAGTGGTTGGAAGCTGTTTCTTCCAACTGCTTTTAAAGTATTTTAAAGTCTTTACTGGTTCAGTAAGATTCTAAAATACTGACAATATCATTGGCAGTGCCATAAATATTTCTGACTATATTTTTACCACGCATTCTCTTTGAAAAGTCTATGATTTAAAATACTAGATCAAAATGTTTTCCTGTTGGTTTTAGTTTCAGAAATTCTAAACAAAAGCTGCTTTTAGCAATAGCCTGCAAAACTAATTTCTTCCATTTCTTAATTTCTATTAATGCTTTCTATTCTGTAACCTATGAAGCCTGTAGTTGAAGGTATTCTTTGGTCAATTTTGTGAAACAAAGTTACAGTGCCACTAGGGGACAGCAGAAGATAATAATTTTTGAAGCACATTGATGCTCACTTTTTTCCCCAACTGTTTTTTCAATCATAATTCTCTGGCATGAGGAAAACATATAGGGATATATTTCTTTCAGACATGATTGCACTGATGAGACAAGACACCAAAAAGTCTATTTTGTCTTTTTATTCATGTGTATATATCTTCTACTTTGGATGTACCTAATCCTGGTACGTATCAGTAATTAATTTCTTTTTTTTGTAGCATTGTGTTCCTCCCTCCGCTTAATTTTTAATTTTTTTTTTCCTTCAGAGGTGAGTATTAAAAACTGTTACTTGAGTTGAGTGATTTTTCTGTCAGGAATCTTTTTTAAATACACCGTCAGTGGAATGTTAAACAGAATAAATCTCTTTGCTCTGTAATTTTTATCTGTAGTGTGTCCAGAGCTATATATAAGATTTAGGTCTGACTGGCTCAGACTTCTGATGGAATTTAATCCAGGCTAGTTGGTTAGGTTTCTTAGGTGCTTAAACTGATTTAGGAAAGTAATTGTAGTTTTATTGTTGTCGTTAAACATAGTGTGCATACAGGCATGCAAGTTCTGTCTAGCTCTGCTATGCTTTTTTTCCTTTTAGTAAATTATGCTCTGAAAACAAATGGAATAATAGAAGTCCGTCTTCCCAAAGCAGTATACTCTGTTACCTGCCATCTTTGTACTGGCTGGTATGATGATTACTGGCTGGTATGATGATTAGAGCCAAAGAGGTATGAATAAAGGCTTATAAGATCTATGGGTTTTTTGATGCCTTGGGAGTACTAGAGAATACACGCACATGTCAAATTATGGGAAGGTTAAAGGAGCAGGTAGGTCATGGAATGATCATATTCTGTCATGAAGTATAATGCTTTGAAGCTCATTAGTGCTCACTGGGGCTCTACTTAAGTAATTGCACAATATATGTGTGGAAGTGAGACTAATAAACCTTTAGAGTAATGTGTCAATAAAGCATTTAAAAGTGTGAGTGACTTAATAATACCTTTTTCAATGGTGGAAGCTTGATTTTTTTTTTTTTTTTTTTTTNCCAAGATGACAACTCTTTATTTGACTGTATTTCTTTTTTTTTTTTTAATTTTAAGACCCACTGAAGCACTTTTACCGTTGTTTCTTTAAAAATAAATGCAGTATTAAGCATCTCATATTATATTGCAGTCAAGTCATCATCCTAACTCAAGTTAAGTAAAAATAGCTGGTAGTGGAGGTCACAAGAAATTGTCGACACCACATTTAACTTGCAATTCACATTATTAAATTCTCTAAAATTAAACACTGTATCCTAGCTACATTCTTTACAGTGGCCTGTGACGCTGCAGTTATACTGACTGGCACTGTGTTATCTGTTAGAATTCTTTTAATAGTGGAATAGTATGAATGTTCCTTTACACTGAACAATTAAGTGACTAAAGTTATTACCTGCTTACATGAAGCTGCAATATCGTAGGCTGTGATAAAAAATTAATAAGCACATATATTTTAACTCAGTAGAGTGGACACAGCTGCAGTGGAAAACAGATTGCTTCCAGTCTAGGCTGGAGGATCCAACAACCTCCCAAGACCTTTTTGAATTCAATTTATTCTAAGACTAGCATGACAAGATAGGTGAGCAACTGCCATTATTTCTTGTGACTAGCAAACAGGGACACTGACCCAGTATGACTGAATGAAGGGGATGGTCGTTTTGTGGTACAAATAAAACCCAGTTGGTTCTCGGAACTTGGCAATAGGTATAAGTGGGCTACTGTCTGGACAGCAGAAGGAAAAGGATATTAAGTGATCAGAGGAGAAGAAAAAACAAACTATGAAGCAATCTCTGACTTAATAGCAGTATTTACTGATAATTTTTTGGGGATATTGAACTAAGGTTTACGCAATGGAGAAACAGAAGTGAACAAACCATTAGAAGTGACCTAAAGCAAAACTAGAAACTGAA